ATGAAACATGGATCCTCTGCTAGTTTCCCATGGATGTTTGCCGGTCTCCCACGCAATGGCGCCCATCTACTCCCACTTTGCTCAGCAGCATCGCAGGGAAGAGCACGTAGAAGTTGGTCTTGTCCTGAGCCCGTCATCACCGGTCATCACGAGACCAAGGTGGCCAGTGAAAACTGGGATTGTAGGGTCATCGGTTTCAAGAATAAGAAATATATCATCTGTATTTGATGCATGGTAAGATATGGTGAGCCTTTGTCAGGTTTGGCTACTTCTCTGCTGTACACTAGCCATCGTTCTGAGCATGCCCCCAAGGCGTTGGGATTGGAGGGAATGCCTTGAATGTGCAAGCAAGCGGCCATACCCATTGCAGTAAAGTCGGACTTGGTTGGATCCGGCTTTGACATGGCTACCAAACACCAGCACAAGTTACAAGTGCAACAGTCACCCAATGCAGCTACTAGCAGCCCTATGGCAGCAGATTGATCGCGTGAAGGCACTTATCATGCATCTCAAAGGCAATCATGGTCATCCATGTGCAACACGTAGTTACCTTCTGCATTCTTTGCTGCACCAACACCCAAAACTATTCCTAACATTCTAGAGACTTCTTCTTGAAACGGCCCAATATCTTATGAACATTTGTGAACTATCACTAGGAGGAGTGACATCGCGTCTCTAGAGATGCTATGTGTTCCTTCCAATACAAAGAACATCACTCCTTGTCTGAATGGCCTCGCACAAAAGGCTGGGATGGACTCTGAAAAACCCTCTGATACAAAAAATTGCATACACACACCTTGCAGTAATCCTCTGGGAGATTCTGGGAGGTATTTTAAAAAAGACAAATCTACAGTTTCCATCGCAGCCGCCTAACTTGTTCCTTTTTCTCCTTGTTGTAGCATGACGAGGAGGTGTTTCACCACATGGTAGATCTGTGCAGGCTAAGGCAGCGCAGGCAGCCGTTCGAATCTACAGTAGCCCACCTTCGACTCCCCTTCTGTATTTTGGCACCGCCTCAAGACCTCCGAGGTTTCCACATGTTTCCACAAACAGCCGGACTTCCAAAGTCAAGACTTGTGGGGCATGGATCGAGTAGTCCCTCCTGGTGCGATTCCGGAGGAACAGAGTCGTGGTAAATCGCACGCAACTGGCCCTTCCTACGCTAGTTTGCACCTTGAGTATGAGAGAAGCCTGTAAGCATCGACAAAAAGATAAAGCAATACGGAATGGAAAGGCCACGAAGACACGATTTGCTCTGATGGTTGTCCCTTTTGGAGTTCTTTGACCACAGGTGCACAGCGCTGTCAGAATTTTACCGCCAACCCAAGGCAATAACATCGTGTTCAATGAAGGAACGTCAATAGAGTACACCAATACACCACCAAGGTGAAAGAAGAAACATAGGAGTTGCACACCGAGATCCGAGATCTGTTGGCCGTGTTGATTTAAGATAAAGGGCAACCCAACTGAAGTTTCCAAACAAGCCCTGTGCTCCCTTCCCACTTGAAATCAAGCCCTTCCCATGTGAGCTCATGTGCAGAAACAGTTTTTGTGAAGCACTCTGTTCAGCAGTGATTGGGGATTGACTCATTCAGCTGGGTGGTGTTGGGGTTGTCAATTGGTGCTGAGAGTTTGGGATGTGTTAACAGTTATGTTATATAGCTGTTTTCTTTTATCTTATGCTTGAGAATCCTGGTTTTGCGGCCTTCAGCCAAAGTAGCGCGGCTGCGCAGCCAAAAGGGCCTGCTACCAGTAGCAGTGGCAGAAGCCGACTAAAGAACGAAGAGGTTGGTGATGGTGAAAGCGGGCATAGTGTCTGTGCGTATGTGTGAGCGAACAATCTTCAGCGTTTACAGGTCTGTGTCAAAATGAAATACTAGTTGATCAGTGATGATTGTTTATACATACATGGTCAAGTTTCTTTTCTGTATCATCACATCGTCTGAGCCTTTGTGAAACACCAACCCAGGTTCGTTGGACGGTCATGTCAGATCCTGTCGATGGCAGGAAGATTGTCTTCCTCTCTTATTGGTGCGAAGGGAATGCAATAGAAACACCCTTCAATCAATATCATGCGATGTTCGATCCTCTCATTCCCGACAAAGCACACATCACTGCGTTGCGTGATTCAGCAGCTACAGTGACTCCAATTTGCGTGGACCACAGCCTGCGTAACCGCTGAACGGAACAGCCAGGCCACGGCCATTGGCGGAGAAACATTAAGTTATATTAAATTCACGGACTCCGCCGATGTACAGCGCGGGAGCCGATCTACTGTAAGCTAAGCAACTTGAAAACTCAGGCCTGAAGGTAATCTCATGACTCTTTTCAAAAGCAGCTTGTGCAAGTCTGAGGTGGTTGGGGATACTCACGTCGCTTCGCGACGGTAGCCGCTCGCACCGCACTCGTTGGGCCATGTTTTGCGTTCAAGTCCCTATCTCGCGGACACGTCCTTTAGATAGTGACTTCTAGGGCTATGTTAGGCAATCTCTTTACTTTATTCCAGTCCCTTTTGAGCCCTCGTTGGGCCATGTTTTGCGTTCAAGTCCCTATCTCGCAGACGCATCCGTTAGATAGTGACTTCTAGGGCTATGTTAGGCAATATGGAAGCTATGTTGAGCCACGTTAGGGGAGCCTGTTCAGCCAAATGTCCGGCCTCAGTCCAATTACACTTTACCGCTCAGATGATTCAAATCATGCAAAGGAAGAAAATTGCATTTCTTGCATCACCAGGGGCTTCAAAATAGCACGAATTCATCTTCCAGCATTTTAAGCCGGTTCCAAACACGTGAAAAAACACAGGATTCTAGAGCGAAAATGCCCCCCTCCCCCTCGCTAAAGCTATTGCATATGCTAGCTTACGTATACCGCGTGCCCTAAAAAAATGTCTCGGCACCTTCGGTGCGGGCGGATTTAAGGTACGTTTGGAGAGTCTAAAAGAAGCCACGGCCCATGGCATGGATGCCTGTTTGGGCCTGAACACGACTTTCAGGCAGTTCATTCTGTGCCAGGCACCGCCTGATATGTGACTCACCCTGGATTCCCTTTGGGAAGTGGGTGAACCGGACGTGCCCTGCTGCGAGCCCTTGCTTTTCAAGCTACTCAGCACGAGCATACTGTAAAATAACAATTCGATACACTTCGTACTTGGATATCTCTTAATATGACTGCATGAGTGAGGATATATTTGCACAAGTTCCAAAATTGCCGAAGGGCAACTGGAAAATGGACTCCCAAGCTGCTCCATCTAAGTCCAAAGCCCTGGATACCTGACATGACATGCCAACCGGTTTAATATGCTATCGTCATGAAAGTGCCTGCAAGTTCACCAAATGTCACCAGAAATGCGAAGATTTCGACTGTATGTTGTTTACCTTCGAACCAAGCTCAGCTGATTCTCCGGTACCTGTTCCAACTGTCAGGCTTGCATTGGAGCACAAAGGCATCAACCTCGACCAACGGGGTTAGACAAACGGGGTTGATCTAGATGCTGGTCTTTCACGAGGCCATCGACACCTAGTAATCAGTAATCTAGTCGTCCAGGGGTTCATCGGAGTCATTTTACAACAAGTGAAGCAACTCTTGTTCCTAGTGGCTTCTTGTTCCTAGTGGCGATGCCAGGAACCCCCAGTAGCGTCCTTGCTCCTAGTAGCGATGCCAGGAGTCCCTAGTAGCATCCTTTGCCCCTAGTAGCGTCCTCTAGATCAACCCCATATCTGGAAACCGGCTCTTCCTGGTGCTGCCAGGAATGGCCGACTGCCATGCCGCCGGGTTTGAGGACTGCAGACCCGGATCTGAAACCAGAGTCTCCAGAATTAGACGTCACATGAAGGATCATGATCTCACACATGTTCAAATAAATGTGTTGAGATTACGTAAATGGCTGGGTGGTTTTAGTCTTTCCTTTCACCATTTCATGAATCAGGATCTTCCCATTTCAGGTGGCAAGCCCACAAAAAATATGCATCTGAAAGGGTTTAATGGACGATAAAGGAAGTGTCCATGACAAAGTGGGTTGCACAAAGCTGTTGTCTCCACCAAATGAAATGGATGAGTTCATTCATTTCATCAGCATCGGCTCTGATTCTGATTGTAATTGGAATTGAACACCAAAACAAGCGAAACGGTTTCAATCGCATCAGCTGGCCCTGTTTTCCGAGGCACTTTCGGTGGAAAGAATGGAACCCAATTGTGTGCAATTGCTCATAGCATTGGCATCAAAAAAAGTGGGTGTAGTGTGGATTCAGCAAGTCTGATTCCAATGAATCACACTGACATGGAGTATAGCCATGAAAACCATGTAACCATAACTAATCTATAGTTAAGAGTCTATGGTCAAGAGTCTTGATTGAACCTTTTGGGTTCTGCAAGCTCCAAGTCCTCCAACTAGGCCATCGCAGTATGTGCGGTTGAAGGATCGCTTCCACGCCCAAGGCTGACGCTTCCCGAAACCGTGTGGTGAATGCAGTGAATCAAAGTGAACCAGCATCCGGCGATGCTATTTGGTTGCAAGCCTCGCTACTAGGAGCAAAGGGCCACGCTACTAGGAGCAAGGACGCTACTAGGGGCTCCTGGCCGTACTACTAGAAACAAGAAGCTACTAGGAACAAAGGCCATCGCTACTAGGGTGGAGTAGGCCGTCGCTAGTGGATTGGTTTCAAGACTTCGGGGCTCTGGACCTGCATGGAATTCAACTTCATGTGAAGACTGTAGGATCGGATGAACCTGTTGCAGTGAGATTAAACTGGTCTTACTATACCAAGCAAAACATCTGTAACAGTGGTGAGTCTGAGAAATCTCACCTCGTAACCTTTCTCCAACCTTGAAAAGCACCAATCTTTGCCACCCCTCTGTGAGAAGGGCAGAATAGTATCTTGCCCCTGGCCTGGGTGGAGTGGAGAATCTGGAAGAACAACATAGAACAACATATACATGCACAAGGATTGATTGTGTGTGTGTTGCTTCTTATATTGGTTCCCAATGATTTGGCGGAGGTCGCCTCAGCCTTGGTCCTCCTCGTCCCGCTCTCCGGAGGACTCCCCACGTTTCTTGCGAATCAGGCGAGTGAAGTTGGTCGGGATGCAACAGATCCTGGCAACCGGTTGTGTGTGATGTTGGCCATCTGTCTTGTCGCAGGTCTTGTGGGCATACATGGGCATATATGTGCATGATACCAAAATTGCTGGAGGACCTATAGAAACATAGAAATGTACTTGGGATTACTTGAGTATGGTAGAAGCAGGCCTCAAGCGATTGTCTTTACTGCGTGTGAAGCCTATAATGGTGCGTGTCAGTAGATGCAAAGGCTCACTGACACCTTGACAAGGGCATCGTTTCCGGCGTTTCGATAACGGTGAAGGACTTGGCTCCTTCTAGCACCCACAGTTGCGATGCAAATAAGACAGGTAGTGAGAGGATTGTTTGCGACATCTTCAAACACTGCTAGCCATATTTTGAATTGGAGTGATTGCTGGAGTTCTCCCCCCACCATACATTAAATTAGTTACTCTTGCGAAAGCTGCAGCCCAACAAGTTTATCAAGTCCCAGGTGTCCAGTGGGAAGAGATCAACACCGCCCTTGCGTGGAAATCCGAGGGATTCAAAGAGGTTATATAGTAGCGTCCTTGCTCCTAGTAGTAAGGCCAGAGGTGTTGGGCTCGAGCCTGCACGCGGCGCACCTGCAGCCCCCTTGCACCCGTGCGAGGGGACTCGAATCGAGCCATGGTATGCTTCTCGGCCAGCCATGTGGTTAGCTCGAGTTCCAGATGGTGCCATGTGCACAAGCAAGTGTTGACACCTGTCCAGACGGTACAGTGGCATCCCCGCTTTGCCATCGTGGACACTGTGGGACTCGACGGAAGACATGTTCTGGTGAAGGTACCCTTTGATACCTTGAGATATCTGCAATCTGGGCAAAGCACGGCTTTTTGTCATGGAAGAAAGGAGGATGTTAACGTCATGACGACCAAGACAGTGAAGGCGATGATTTGCTCATGCATGGTACACCTGTCACCGTGCCTCCATCTTTTGACTCCTCGTGCAGTCCACTACCAGAAGATACTGAACCATGGGCGATCGGATATGAGCAATATGACTCGGCTTGTGGCTATGGGTATACAGAAGATGAGGATAGCTCAATTGAACCATGGATGTACACCCATTTGGCTCGCAAGAGTCTACACGATGATGGACACACCCCCTTCCCTTCAGGGGTCGCTGGGAAAGAGGAAGTGATTACTATGCAAAGGCACCCTACAATTTTGTCTAAAAAACTTCATGAATCACGGCTAGTCTCTGCACAGACATTGATACAGAATCTCTGGAGCAGACGAAGTGAACCGGAGCGAAACCATATTCGACAGGATGATCTGAGTAGAATGACAGGTTCTACAGAGGAATATGGTTCTTTGAATTTTGAACCATGGGCCTTCGAAGTTGTTGGCGCACATGATAAAGGCGACCTCTCAACTGCATCCAACGAGGAATTTCTTCATGAACCATGGGGTGCTCAATACTTGCCTCAAGAACTTCGTTCTGACTTCGCAAGTCTTTCCCATGAGTCGGCGATATCTTCATCGCCAGCAAACCAAGGTTGTTCACTTTTACCATGCATCCCTTCATGTTTTGATGCTTTCCGGCTGTCCAAGCCCATACTGTCGCACCTAGCCTGTGTCACGCCCAGATTCACACAAGGTTTTGATGATAGGATGACATGTCGGAATGGACCCCTTAGTCATACAGCCTCCAATGATTTTTGGTCAGGATGCTTTTGGATGACCAGCAGGGGGAGAACAAGGGATGATCCTAGGACCAACGTCAGCCAGGGTACGACATTCATTCAAGACCAGAACATTCGCAGTCAGCCATGGAAACCAGGTTCGTCCTCTCCATGTCTCCTCTTTACGTGTCAGCCTACGCCTGACTTGGTCCCTCTCCAAAGTCTCCGTGCCGATTCTAGTGCCGCAGGTTTGCAAGAACCAACAGTACCAATTTTGTTTGCTGCCCCCGTGGAACCATCCGCAGTTGGATTCCCAACTGGAACCAGGGGTAACAAGAATTAATCAGGACCATTTTGGCCTCATGCAAGATGTCCACAATCAAAGCAGGACCAGCTTTTCGAAATTAGAAAGCCTTTCCATTGAGATGAATCATATCCTGAGCACACCTTGGCCCATTGCAGGTCAAGTAGGTTGTACGGACCATTTGACATCCGCACGAGACGTCATCATTCCTCCCTACTTGACAGGCTTTCAGTGTCAAGATCCTATTTGTGCTTTTCAACACAAGGATGAGGCTCAGTTTCGCTTACAGACAAGTATCTCCACCCTTGCGAACACAAAATATATCGCAAACCAACCAGGACCCACTATGTGACGCCTTTGACACTGGTGAATTGATGTTGCTCTATGATTCTTCATGGATGATGGAACATTCGACACCTTGTACTTTACACGCCACCTCACGGAGGCAGTTGATACAAGATCTACAACATCCTTCATGGATAACATTCTACAGCGAGGCTGTACCCGGAGACAATTTGCAGTTCTTCGCAAAATTAATGCGGTCCACAAGGTGGTTGGAAGCAAATCTTCCTCGTCATTGCCTCCAGACCAACTTCGCTATGCCTCCATCAGCCTTAGGTCGTTTCCAGTCAGACGGATCATTTTGCAAGGCAACAGACAGGATTCGTCCAGATACTCAGGTACTTGCTCTACAACACCAAACGATATGTACTGGGGCTGTACCCGTCTACAACCACGATCAATTCCACGCACCTGAACATGACGATCCAGTTTTTTGGCAGTGGTCAAGTTTTGTTGCAGTTGACGCAACTCCACAGGTGCCATCAACCATCAGTACAGAGACGACAGGTTCCTCAAGCAGACCAACTTCGAATACCGTTCCTACAGCGCATTCGACCCTCGATGGAGCCTCTGGCATTTTGGCTGCCGTTGGTACAACCGAAATCGAAATTACAGGGTTCCTCTGGAATTCGGGACTTCTTTTGTCCTCCTACTCCAACCAGTACTGACGGCGATCAATATCAAGCAAGGATCTACTCGGTTCTCGCCAATGTCTTTGTTTGATGCAGCAAACAGTGATACACTGTCAGGGCTTTCTTTCGAGTGTCTTCAGCGAACATTGATCTTGATTGTGGGCACTTCGGACACACATCCCTTGGTCATCCTCAACAGCAAGCGCAGATTACTATCTTGACAGGGGCTGTACCCGATCCAACAGTCTTGATCCATGAGCTACAACATTTGACCATATCTCGTGGGGCTGTACCCATTTCCAACCTCACACATGTCATCAAGGTATTGTCAATTGAACCCGAGATTGAACAGATCTTTCTCAATCAGGATGACAAAATTTTATGGTGTCAAAGGAGGCTCACTCCCTGTGATCCCCTTATTGAAGCTCGACACCCATTGTGTCGAACTGCAGCTCAGTTGACCTTCACCAATCTTGCCGACATCAAGCTTCAGTGCCATGTGGACGGATTGAACTTTTGCTTCCACTTCGCGAGTTCCACTGGATCTTAAGATTCCCAAGCTGATTCCTCATCAGCTACACCACAATTTGGGGCACTGCCTCGATATAATCATGATTTTCGAATTCCAAGTTATTGGCCTTTTCGAAAGAGCTTGACTTGTGACTTCTTCGATCTATCTCTACGACCACGACATAGGACAATATTCACAGGGGCTGTACCCGATCCAAGCATTTGCAAACCAGATCAACAGCAGATTACTACATCTCGTGGGGCTGTACCCGTTGCCAACCGCACACATTTCAGTGTAGTTAGACTGGTTCAGTTTCATCAGGGTCAGGTACTCACAATGTTCCAGGAGGCTCCTCAAGTGGATTTCCGGAACAATCCTTTTGACAATTATGACCAACGTACGACTACAGTGACCAGGCTGTCTTTCAGTTTACTGGGAAGCGCATCTACGGCTCTGCAATGTCAGAACAGTGATATTTCCGCGAATGTGGAAAGGAGCAAAGATGATCCTCTACCATTCCAAGCCTGCAGGTAGCGCCGACAAGCATTTTCGACATCCAAACATATCTCCCTGCCAAAGTTCGAGAGTTCTGGACTTCAGCAAGCATCCATCAGTTTCCGGCCAGTCTAGTTTGGCAGAACACAGATCAGATGACTCCAGTACCATTACATTTTACCAATTTGAGAGGGGCTGTGCCCGATAACAACCGCGTATAGCATCGACAACCTCAACGGAAAGGAGTGGGCTTACAATCAGCCCGGAATATTCACCAACCGACAACTCCTTTTTGGAAGCCTGTTTCGGTATTCTCGCATCAACGATGACGGTTGCATTTGGGCCATGTCCGCTGCTTTCCAGGTAGACACAAGTATTTGGCCCAACATGAGTGAAGTTTATGGTGATACTTATGGGTCATCATCAGTAGACCTCAGCCCAGTTCTCATGAACTCTCAAGCCTCTCTGCCGAGCGGTGGCTGGAGTACAGCTATTTATCGCGGAGGACACCCAGCGTGGGGTTGATGCCAGGTAGTGCATATGAATCCTAACCCCCCATTCGCAGAACGATGTGCAGCAGCATCGCAAGATGAGGGATGGTTGGCCTCTGACGAAGCTCTATGGTTTCTTGGCAAGGTCAAGGATTGGAGAACTGACATCGTTATCGGACCGATGATTTTATGTAGCCCACAGCGAGATTTACAATATCTCATCGCGGCAGAACACCACATTCAGCTCGACAATCACAAACTCACACTACTGCTGTTCTTGGTTGATGCTCAATGGTGTGCAGTGGAGGTAGACAGACGTACCGATCCACTTCACATTGTTCTTGTCCAATGGCCAGATGAACATCGCACACTCGTCACATTGGAAATGTCTCGAATTTTGCAGATTCCCCCGCACCGCATGCTAGTCTCGACTGATTCTAATCATGAGGTTCTAACCATGTGTGGATGGACCATATACTCTGGCGATGGTACCATAACTTTGCCACGCAAGCTTGTCTGCAGCCACTCATCCACGTGGCGGATCATCATCGAGGCCAATTTGATCGGGTAATCATGAGGGCTCAACAAATGTGGAATC